GGGGGGGGGGGTTCCGGGTCGCGGGTGACCAAGCCAGAGATCCCCGGCCGCCGCCGAGCACTTGGACTCGAACTCTGCTGGGAGGGGCCCTGCCCCTTCCTCTTTCGGTTTTCTCTTGTTTTGTTTTTTTTATTATTTTTATTATTATTATTACAAAGTTTCATTCTTGTTGAGCAAAACAAAAAAAGCCAACGAACTTTTTGTATTGATGAACAAAATATTCACAACAGGGCAGTTGTGATGCGAATAGAACAAAAAGAAAATAACCAAACACTTAAAACTTTTTAGGTTTCCCGATGAGTTTGGGACTCTAGGAAAGATCAGCCCAGCACCAGCAGCTACAACCACCATTCCATCTCTACACTTGAAGAAGAAGCATTAGTTACAGTCCAGATGTAGGAACTCGGATCTTGAAGTTCCTAATTATTTGTCTCATACCAGTGTAAACAAACCAGCCCCCCGCCCTGCACATTGCTGAACTATAAGCTTTTAGAACCCAATATTCTGCCAAGAATATGCCTTGATAGCAGTCCTCAACCCTTTCGTTTGGTTTGTTTGTTTTTTTAAACAAAGTTCTATATGTCTGGGGGAAACCCATTCATTCCAAAGTTTTGTACTGGTTACTGGTTTCATTACTACCACTTAGTGGATGTTTAGTTTAGAACCAATTTTGCCTGCTCTCTGGAATCCTTGGGCAGAGCTTAGCTTGTAATTGTTGGGAAGTAACTGCTGAATTTTTAGCTGTTTTGAGTTGATTCGCACCACTGCACCACAACTCAATATGAGAAAACTATTTAACTTATTTATTATCTTGTGAAAAGTATACATTGAAATTTTTGTTCATACTGTATTTATCGAGTATGATGAAAAGCAATAGATATATATTCTTTTATTATGTTAAATTATGGTTGCCATTATTAATCGGCAAAATGTGGAGTGTATGTTCTTTTCACAGTAATATATGCCTTTTGTAACTTCACTTGGTTATTTTATTGTAAATGAGTAAAAATCTTAATTTAAGAGATTGTATGTAATATTTATTTCATTAATTTCTTTCCTTGTTTACGTAAATTTTGAAAGATTTCATGATTTCTTTACAGAAATCTTATCTCGATGCTGTGGAAATAGTTTGACAGATACCTGAGTTTTCTTAGAATGTATAATGGTTGTGGCCCATCCACCTTTGAGAAAAAGACCACAATGCAATCAGGCTTACATGTGGCATATTTTGCTAATTCCACCTTTATAAACTAGCAAAAACTGTTTTGTTCGCTGATTCCACCAGCTCTACTGTGACATACTCTTGAGTATAAAGACATGTAGCAATAAATAATGGGGGATAGTCTCACAGTGCCTTCAGAAGGGCCCAAACTTGCCTTAAATCTTCCTCAACCAAATAAGTATTTTATTAGTGCTTGAGAGAATTTGAATGTAGGATGGGTTCAACTGCACAAAAGGAAAAGATTTTTACCACTTTTTATAGCTATAAAGTGAAGAGGCCACCTCTTAGTGCTGAAATGGTATAAAGTACATGAACATGCCTTGTTTAATTACAGAAAATGCTAAAACTTGTACTATTTTTTTTTTTTCCTGTGTAGAAAGGCAGGAATGTCTCGCGCTTTCCTGGACAGCAGATGAATGAGCAGTAGCTTAGTTTGTAGGTACAGTTGGAGCACTATGTATGTACTCTCTGGACTACTTTGACAGAAGTAGGTTTTTGAATGTAACAAGATAAGTCAACTTGAGTTGTAATATATTTTGGGGAATCAGTTCACTACAAATTGTGACTGTAAACATTGTACTGTAAATGTTTTGTAGTTTTCCCCCAATAAAACTTTTTGGGAAGAAAAAAAAAAATGATGTGTAAAAGTAGTTTGGTTTTTTTTTTTTTCCAATCAAGATGTCTAGGCTCCCGGCTTCTTATGGCCTTGGAGGGTGGGGAGAAGATGCCCAGCCCGAATTTACTTGGTAGCAGGTTCTTTTAGCTGAAAGAAAGTGTGATTCTTTGGACTGTCAAGGGCATTAGCTGTTCCCATTGGTAATAAGATGCGACCCAGTGTTGGCTGGCTGGCTGCTGGCGGGAGACCTCTAGGGGTGTGGCCAGCCTGAGAGTCACCCTGGTGGATCACGTGGCCGCGGTGGCAGCTGAGTCCCATTCTTTACGCTGCTTCCTGGGGGGGCCTAGGAGGGCTGAGCTGGAGGTGAAGGTTTGGGCCTTGGACAATGGGTTTTACCAGGACTTTGGAAAGCCAGTCCTTGTTTCAAAACGAAGGGGGAAGGAAGATTAAGAAGGTAAAATTTCTATCTGGGTGATGTTTGTTTATACAGACAGCTTCCTCTGGGGATGAGCACACACCAGTTATTTATGCAAAAGGAATTAGTGTCTGGCTCCTTAGGCCAGAAAGTAGATTCAATCCATTGCTCAAAAAAGTATAGATTTTCTTACGGTTCTCAAAACAGTTGAACAAACTTACTGTGGTGACTCTGCTGTTTTCCTTTTCACTTTAAAAACAAAATCTGATTCATAAATCAATGCACGTTTCCTTCATTCCCCACCCCCACATGCACACAATCATCCTCTTTCCAAAGGAGGTAAGACGTTTAGCAATAGTTTGCTTTCTTATCGACAACAGCTGGGCTCTATCAGCCAATCCTTGGGTCCCCTCTCAAGGGCTCTGCATTAGCCAGGGTCTTGTGTGACTCACAGCTGAGCCAGGAGGGGTGCGGGTGGCTGGTGACTGCTCAGGGCCAGGCAGCTGTTTCGCGTTAGTGGAGATGGCGCTGGTGTTCACTGGAGCATTTTGGTGCTGGGCTGGGCCTGCCAAAGGGGCTTGGGAGCAGTTTCGAAGTTTTCCCAGATGCTGGGCCTCTGTGGTGAGGGAGGGAGGCGAAGCCCGAGGCCAAGGAGGGCTGGGGGCGGGGTGAAGACCCCTCGGGCTCCCTGGCATCTCCACCATAAAGAATGTGCAATGGGAAGGAAACGTCTAAAATATGGTGCTGTTTAGGCCAAACTGCATTTCAAAGGCCTTGTTTCCACTTCATTCCCAAACTTATTTTTCTAAACAAGTACTTTTGATCAGCTGGAATGTTAGACTCCTTTATGGGGTAAGCCACATTCATTTTTAAGACTTGCTCTGTTTCAGAGCTCAACTGCTAGGATCTGAAGTGTGTATTTCAAACTCAGTGGAGCATGGAAAGCTAGAGGGACCATTCAGAAATTTCCTCCTGCAGCTGATCAATGGAGGCAACCAGGTCATTGTGCTTCTCCCTGGGCTGGAATTAACGGCAGACTCAGCTCTCAGTACTGCATCACCCTTAGGACAGTTTTCTTGTAAAATCAGAGAATAGAAATAAAACTTGCAAGTAAGGGCTCTCATCAGGGGCTGGGGAGTGAAACTAAAACTCACTGGCTCTAAGACTGAGTTTTCAGCACTGGGGATTAAACCCACAGCCTTCACATTGACTCAGCCCTTTTTAATTTTTTTATTTTGAGACAGGATCTCGAAGTCACAAAATTGTCTGGGCTGGGTTCAGACTTGCAATCTTCCTGCCTCAGCCTCCCAGTGTGCTAGGATTTACAGCCCTGCACAAGAATGCCCAGCTCAAGAAGCAATTCTTCCATGCCAGCCCAGAATGTAATCGTGGTCTCCCCAGTGGCATTTCCACTGCCTGTGTGAAGGCCAACATGTTTTTTTAAGCAGCCCAGTCAGGATGCATTACATTCTAAATTATTTTAGATAAAAGATGTGTGTATGCCTGAATCTACTACTGAGTGTGTAAAAGAAAGAACACAGAAATTTACATACACTCACAAACAACTGAGAAGGCCAATGCCCTGCAATAGCCAGTGGAAATAAAGGATTGTAAGCCCTGCAGCGGCTCAGGACCCAGACCAGAGAGCCAGGCCTGGCATGCCTCGGATGCAGGAAAGACAGCACTAGGATGCTCACTGTTAAAATCTGCCTGGGATCTCAGGAAAACCCCAGAGTGGACATGTACAAGGAGGGAGCCCACTGAACCTGGGAAGGGAAATGCAGGCACCCGCTAGCTACCCATGGGTTCTGTTTGTGGTGATAAGTGAGGACAGATGTGACTCTTACCCAATTTTCTTGAAACCAGAAGTTGGGTCCCTGCACAGCCTCAGAAGCTGATCAGCTGCTGGGCAGAGGCCAGTCAGGCTTAGCTCCCAACAGGGACTCACAGCTTCTTTCCTTGCTGCTACCTCATTTCATTGCATTTTACTATTTCTTGTCCGCTCTTCCAGGGAATAGACAAAGCTGTAGCCACCAAGGGCAGTTCCAGCCTGTTGTCGTTGGCCAGGGCAGGGAGGGACAGAGGAAAAGAGGGAGGGCCAAGTGGCGCCCGGAGCAAGAAATCGCTGATCCCTTCTCCCACCTCTCCTGACAGCAGGCTGGACTTAAAAGTGTGTGTGTGTGTGTGTGTGTGTGTGTGTGCCCATGGAGAGGAGTCTATGGGATACTGGTGTGGAAGAGGTGTGTGTGTGTGTGTCTGTGTAGGTGTTGGTCAGTGTGCCGCTGTGTGCAGCATAGACAGGAAGTATCGGTGTGTGGGTCTGTGTGCTGCTGTACAAGGCTGTGGACTTGTGCGTGGGGTATGCATGGCTGAGGGGTGAGGGAGTGACCCATCTGTGCATGTCGGTGTGGGTGCGTCTTGCTGTGTGGGAGCTATGTGGACCTTTGGGGTGTGGGTGTTTCTATGTGTTTGGGTCTGGGTATGGGTGTGTCTGGTGGGGGGGGAATGCGGGTGTGTGCAAGCTTGTGTGTGCTCAAGTGCGGGTTGGGTGTGCCTGTGTGTGGATCTGGCTGAGGGCTGTAGTGAGGGCTGTGTGTTTGGGAGGTAGCCATTACCCACACCAACAGAGGGAAAGCAGTCCTTCTTAGTGGGCCTCCTTCAAGTTTGAAAACTGCTTTCAAAACACGGAAATGGGGCTGAGGATTTAGCTCAGTGCTTCTGCCGCCTGCCTCGAAAGGTCCCGAGTTCGATCCCAGTACCAAAACAAAAACAAAAAACCCGGAAATGACTGCCAGGTTGCCACCCACTTCCTGCTGGGTGGTGGCAGGGCAAGTCTGGGAGGGAGAGTAGCGGGCCCCAGGCCTGCAGGGACCCCAGACTCATCTTCATTGCAGGACACACCTGCCAAGGACAGGCCTCTTGTGGCACTCAGTCTGTGAGGATAATTTTAGAAACTGGGGAGAGGCCAGGCTCTTTTATTTTCATCAGGGCATAAATAGCCTCAGCAGATAGGAGTTCTTTTGCTCGAAGTGGCGGCTCTGAAATAGAGAGAAAGATATTCAGGATCCGAGACAGACTAGAAAACTCCTGAGCTCGCCGAAACCGAGTTTAAAATATTTCTCTAAAAATAAGCTTTGTTTTCCTTGTGGATTCCTCTGGCAGTCAGACTCTCATGCCAGGGTGCTTAGCTGGCCTGGGAAGCCAGGCGGAATTTTTAAAAAAGCGAGTGTTTCCCAGCTGTGGCCTTGGAAAGTTCTCTGTTTTCCATTTATTAAACTCCTACTTTCCGGCTAATTAAAATTATTTTCAAATAAAACTCCATGGCCCAGCAGTACTTGATGAAACACAGAATTCCCAGTGACCCCTCCACAGAAGGATGGGGGTGGGGTCTCCTTCATTGGGCTTAGTGCTGGTTTTATGAGGAGGGAAACTGGATGCCTTTGCAGTGAAGGCCCAGGGCCTTGTCTTCCTAAATATCACCACCACTTCTGCTGGAGGTTGCTGCACAGGCCTACAGCCCCTCAGCTCTGCAGCTCTTGATTTTTTTCCCCCAGTACAAGAAATTGAACTCAGCACCTTTTCACTAAACTACATCCCTAGTGTGTGTGTGTGTGTGTGTGTTTAGACAAGATCTTGCTAAATTGCCCAGATTGGGCTCACACTTTCAATCCTCCTGTCTCAGCCTCCCAGAAGGCTGGAATTACTGTTATCCGTGCACAGCCACACCCAGCTTCTTCATCCCTTGAGAAGCGGCAGCAGGGTAATGCGAAACCAGTGCCCTCCACATACACACACATGCACTCCTAACCTAAGTGGTTCATGGGAGAGGAACCTAGACTTGGCAAGGTGTGTGACCACATGATGCTCTCCTACCTGGTGTCTCTTCCTGGCCTGGCTACCCTTGAAGCTTCCGGTCAGTCAGGCCAGTGTTCCAGGACTTGGTTGAGCACCTATAGGATACCCATACCAAAGGAGCTGGAGGGGGCGTGACTAGCATCAAAGCCTGGTGTGGTGCAGATGGCAGCCAGAGCCATGCACGCTCGCTCTGCGGGGGGCCGGAGCTGGGGTGCTTCAGCCTTGCAACCTGAGTCATACTCCATGATGTCTCATAAAAATTTACAAACAAGCATAGTGGTACACTCTGGTAATCCCAGCACTAGGGAGGCTAAGGCAGGAAGGTCACAGACTAAAGCCCAACCCAAACAACTCAGTGCCTTGGTGAGAATCCGTCTCGAAATCAAAAAGGGCTAGGGATGTAGCTCAGCGTGAAAGTCCTGAGTTCAATCCCCGGGACCAAGACAAAAACAACAAAGCCAACTTGTACAATTCTTCACAGTAACCAAAAAAAAAAAAAAGAAAGAAAGAAACAACTCAAATGTCAAACAACAGAGAAATTAATGAAGAAAATGTGGAATGTCCGTACAACAGAATATTCTTCCTAGAGCGAGGAAGAACCTGTGCGTGCTCCCTACCTGGGTGAACTTCGGAAACCATATGCTGAGTAAAGAAGCCAGATCCAGAAGACCACATACTGTGCCAGTCCATTTAATAAAGTGCCCAGCGTGTGCAAACCAAAGTAGGTGTGCAGTAAAAAAAAAAAAAAAAAAAAAAAAGAAAGAAAGAAACAACTCAAATGTCAAACAACAGAGAAATTAATGAAGAAAATGTGGAATGTCCGTACAACAGAATATTCTTCCTAGAGCGAGGAAGAACCTGTGCGTGCTCCCTACCTGGGTGAACTTCGGAAACCATATGCTGAGTAAAGAAGCCAGATCCAGAAGACCACATACTGTGCCAGTCCATTTAATAAAGTGCCCAGCGTGTGCAAACCAAAGTAGGTGTGCAGTTGCCGGGGACTGAAGATGAGAAAAATGGGGAGTGACTGCTGATAGGTACAGAGTTCTTTCTGGGTTGATGAACGTGTTCAGGAATTAGATAGTGGTGATAGTTGTACTACTCTGTAACTTTACTAAAATTAATCTATCTGCACACTTTAATTTCATGAAGTTGATAATGTATGAATTCCATCTCCTTTATTTCAAGAAGGGTACCCATGAGCTGGACAGCAGGCTATAAAGGGGAAGACATCATAAGGGGGCCTCTGTCAGGGAAGCCCTTGAAGAAAGGCAAAAGGCCAGGGAATGAACTTTCTAGGTGAAAGGAGGAGCAGGTGCAAAGGCCCTCTGGTGCTGCTGCTGCTGGTGGTGCTGGCAGTGGTAGTGGGGTGGGCTCAGCCCCTAAAAGCACTCTCACCTAACCCCGTATTAGAACATCATATATTACAGCCCATGATTTCTTCACTGTGGTTTTCTTACATTATTGTTTAAACTTTTCTATATGTTGCAGTTTAACATTTTAAATTAACTCTTTTAATTAAAAATATTTTTCTCAAAAGAAGCCCATAGACTGAAAGTGAAAAGATAGAAAACAATTCTCCATGTGACAGGAGCCCAGAAAAAAACAGGGGTAGCAATCTTATTTGCAGACAAAGTAAATTTCAAACCAGAACTGAATCCAGTATTATTGATGTAAGACAGTACTGTATCATACCTCTATGAATGTAAAATATCTAGTACCAGCTTTAGGATACATAGTAGGGACTGTGCTTTATCAGAGCTACATTTAATGATATTACTCTAGAATGTTCTCTTTCCAGATGATGATTAGGAGGCTAATAGAAAAAATGGTGCCAGGTACCACAACAGCAACAGAACTTTGCTGTTGTCTGGATATTATTCTTTTCTTTGGGTTTTTTTTTTTAATAGAATATGCTGAATGTCTATAATTATGTTCAGATGACTGCAGAATCTGGAAAAGCTGTTGCTGCTATCGATGCATAACATACTATTATTAGTCTTTATATATATATAGATAGATAGATAGATAGATATGTATGTATACACACACACACACATATATATAAATTGAATTTTGGGAAACTTTAACGGTGCTGCCAACTTTGGAAAAAGTCACCCCAATTTACTGTGTTGACTTGGCATCGTACAGAAATGGACAACCATATTGGTCTAGAAATGTTAATTTATTTTTTTTTCCATGTGTACAGGGGTAACACATCGTACTACATATGTAAGGTCATAGCTATGTGGGTTTGATTACAGAAACTAATAAAGTATTCTCTAAATAATGAAAAAAAGAATAAGATAAGACTATAAGAGCAAGAAGCAATTTAAATATGTTCAGGGACCATTTTCATCTCCAGAATTAAGGATTATTTTAATGTTACATCATTGCCTTTTCTCTTTAATTTCCTTTTTAGTTTTAATTTAGGATTCCCTATTTTTAATGTTCATACAGAGATTTCTTTAACTGAAATACTGAATAGTTTCTTTGGTTTGAAAAACTATAATAGTACACAGGATCCTAATGAGACAATTAATAATGTGAAATAGGAAGTAAAGGGCTAAAGGTGTAAGGAAAGTGGGAAGGGTGGGGGAAAGGTAAGAAGGGAAAGGAAAAAAATATGAGAAACTGAAAAAATGGAAATAAAGTGTTTGTAAATGGGGAGGGGAGGAGGGGGTGAAGGGAGGGCAGGGACAAGGGGAAAAATGAGAATCGAGACCTATTATGTAAAGGTACAGAATCCCAATGATGAATGTAACTGTATTGTATACCTAGATTGTACCAATAACCTCAATAAAAAGGAAAAAAATATATTTTTCTCAAGCCAGGTGTGATAGTAAGTACCTGGAGTCCCAGCTACTCTGGATGGAACCTGAGACAGGAGGATTGACCGAACCCCGGACTTCAAGGCCAACATGGGCACCATCTTGAGGTCCCATCTTTAAAAAAATGCCCTCACACTGCTGTCCCTGAAACACCCTTAGATGAGGGATGCCCTGAGATGCTCACCCCAGAGCCCAGGTTTTCACGGTGGAAAGAGCTACGACTCTGAAGTCCCATGGAAGGATCTTCCAACACAGTTCTCAGCCTCTCTCACCCTCAGTTTCTTCATTTCAAAAGCAGGTTAATCTACTGTTGTTGTCATGCACAGAGCAAACGAACAAAACACTCACAGTGCCTTGCTGGTGCCTGGAAGGGATCTGCGTCCCTGGAGAATCAGCTGCTGCTCCAGCTCCTCTTCCAGGAAAGGCTTCTTCAAGGCCAGGGGTCCCCGGAAAACCTCAGAAATTCTGATCACTTGTCTCTGGAGCTCCTGCTATCGCTGAAGCTTTCCATATATTTGCTGAGTTCCTAATAGCCCAAGTTGGGGTGGGTGCTGCTCCTGTGCCCATATCAAAGATGAGGAAAGAGTCCCCAGGGTTTTGTTTTTTCATTTGTTTGTTTGCAGTACCTGCGGTGGGTCGAACTTAGGACCTTGAGTTGCGAGGCAGGCAGCAGCACCAGTTCCCAATAGTTTTATGCCTGAGGCCTGGCAGCAAGGAAACAGCTGCAGCAGGACCCAAGAGAATCTAAGGGTCTACTCCCCACAGTCACTGCAGGCTGCCTTTCTGACTCTCCCACCTGCCTTACACCATCAGGTCTAGAAAGCCTGGGTCGTCCAAGAAGCTTCCCATGATGCTGTCCCAGGGTAGACTGTGTCCTGCATTATCTGTGCTTTTTATTTATTTACTTTTGAGTCTTTGAGACAAGGTTTCACTATGTAGTTCAGACTGGCCTCGAACTAATGGCAATCCTCCTGCCTCGTCCTTCTGAGTGCTGGGATTACAGCCCTGCTATATGCCTGGCTCTTCTGTGCTTTTTTTTTT